CACTGTTCTTTGACAAGTTTTATGGAGATGCTGATGTTATTATCATTCAGTAATTACAACTTTACTTAGTTGACCAGCAAACTGGTCTGACTTAAACCTCGTATAGAATCTCTGGAGTGTCGCCAAGATCAAAAACATAATCCGCAGAATAGATCCAACAATAATGATGAGCGAAAGGGCACGATTAAAGCAACCTTAACTTCCTTAACACTTTATCAGAGCTGCAGTCTGATAATGGTGCATGCACAAATCGATCAGCAACTCGATGGAAATTGGCATCCTCAAGTCCTCATCAACACAATCTGGAATTGAACTTACAAATATCTGATTACAGGATGATTAGTATTCCCACTATAAACCATAGCCACTCCAATTAAATATAACCTTTTTGTAAATTAGGATGTCACCTCCTTGATACTTTTGCGCTCCGTGTTCTGATTGTTATCTACCTGAAGCACATCCTAATTAACTTTTTCAGTCTTAAGGTTTTGTCCTTCTCTCTATCATTATTTTTTGTCATTAGTGTTTTCCTTCTTATAAGGGAAAAACTATTAGGTCTGCAGATTATTGCTCAAACTAAACAGAGTTGAAAGTGTTGGGGAAATTGGAAGTTCACCAGATGGGAGATCTCTGTGGTGCAATCTCTAAATTAGACATTTGTTACTTAGACATTTCTTCCCACAGTTTTACTCTTCTGTGAGCATTTCTGTTTTGTTCTTTTCGTTTTTTGTTTTGTTTTTTAGTTTATCTAGTCTTAGGGAATTTCAACCAGGATTTTGCTTTCATTTCAAACAATGGCTAAATGATTATGGAGGTAACATTTTAAACTGAATTTAGCATCTTGTATAACAAGCTGGCATAATCGGCATTACTACTGGGGCCTTCAATGTCAATATGTTAACGTATGCGATTAATCTAAAAACTTAATGCACTGATAGTTCATGGTGCTCAACTAAAAGCCTTCAGAGCAGCATGTCACATGGTCGTCTACTGGATTCAACAATGCAGAGTTACAATAGTGAATGTAAAGATGAGTGAAGAGAGTCAGACTGGTGTGCTCAGCTGTAATGTTCGCTTTAAAAACACAGTGGTTGGAGTGGAGGCCACAAATTTGAAAGCCATCCTCAGTTCCTTTCACGTTTCTTCCCTCTTCTATCTGTCCTGTTCCTGTCAACTTAGTACCAAACAACAGCCAAAAAAAATCTTAAACGCACACAGATGCACATTTGAAATATAAAGACTAATTTTAAATCTTCCTGAAATTGAAAACCTGGGAAATTTGATGTTTTCCATCTTGCCGTCTTGTTGAGACAAGAAAACATTTCGTTAAACGTTTTTTTTTTTTTTTTTTAAACCTGCATTTCACATTTTTTATTCTTTTATTCACTCAGTTTGTTTTTTCTTTTCTTGAAAGTACTTAATTTGTGTGAAGTCCTTTTGCGAATTTTATCTGTCAAAGATGCTAAATAAGTAAAATGTACCTATATATTGTTTTATTAGAACACTATTACTATTTCTGTTTTTTTTTTTTTTGTATAATGTTGTTTATTATAACTGGCATTTCTAAAAGTCTTTTAATATTTCCATGTTCAGTATGTTCCAAGATGTAGTTTTGAAGCTCTAAATGAAGCCGTTTTGCAGTGCTCTGACCCGTACCATATCTGCTGAAAGTCTTGCTCTCTTCCATTTTCTCATAGCTTTCTTGAATTGCAGACAAATTACACAAAGTATAGTTTCCTTTTTTCTGTCCTCACCATCAACAACTTATAGATTCTAAGCAAAGCTAATTTTGAGTTACCATCACTCCAACAAGTGTTACATGTGTCTGAGTGGGCAAAGATCATTTTTTTAAACTGGTCTTTCACAGGTGTTTGTGAAAGACCAGTTGGTTTCCACTTTAGGGCCAATCAAGAACATCCAATTCCAAACAATTTCTTGGGATTAATTTCTCGTTTTTAGTGTTTTTTTTTTCTATAATGTTGTTCATCCAATGCTGTTTAAAGCATGGGAGTTATAAGCCAAGTGGATTGCTTCTCAAGAACATGGGGAAAAAATATGTTCTCTTGGGCTCTTTAAGTAACCGTCAAGGATCTTCTCTCATTAGAAAAAGCTTCATAATGCCTCAGGGCTTAAAGGAATGGGTTCTGCCTTCCTATGTGATGGAATATGCATAAGATGGCATCACTACTGTCTGGGAATGCAAATCAGAATAGTTATTTTTTTTATTTTTATTTTTTACCTCTGGATGATTGCCATGGGGTCTATGTACATGGCCTTATTCTCGTTTAACTTCCTTGCTTAATCAAGAAAAACCTCACTCCCCTAAGGGCAATTCCCAGTTTGCTCTTCAAATACTCCTTTTCTCATCTCTCCATCTCTATACACATATACACACCTCGGAGGCTCATAAAGCATTTCCAAGCTACTGCAGTATGATTATTCATATGGCAATGAGGCTGGATTGAGCCAGCTAGGCTGCGACAGTGAGATAGGAGAGTTTTCGTATGATGACTTAAGAGCACTGCATTTTCTCGCTCAAGAATAGCGAATTCAAACTTAATCAGGGCAAGCACCCATCCATACTCTCTTTTCCAGCTAGCTCAACAAGGTTGAGGCCAAATTGAAAATGGAAAGCAGGAGACAAAAGTCAAAGTCTGGGCAGCATCATACACACTTCTATCCTTTGTTTCTTTGCCACGAGCCTGAGGTTTTCTCCCATGAGCGATGGGTTTCTCTTAGGGCAATCAGAGAAGCATTTCTGTTTCACTCGAAGAGGAGACATTAGTAAGATTAGCTTTCTTCCACTCGATCTGACCTATCTAAACCCTTATCTTTTTCTCATTCCTTGTCGCACACACTCTCACAATGTTCCAGATTTCCACACACAATGGTCACTGCCATCCATCACTCTGTAGGGCACCAGGTATGTTTTAGTGAAGCCCCAGCCAGTTCTCCGGCCAGCCTCACAGCCGTCAGCTCTCCTCTTTTTCCACAGGCCATGGTCACATCAGAAGGAGGAGGCAATGATGGTTCTTGATCAATAAAACATCGACCGCATTAAAGCTCATGAATAAGTCATAGAGGGAAGGAACTCAGTCGTTGGGACACACACATACACACACAAGGAAATTGGTTTTATTTAGGACAGGGAAAATGAACAGACACAAAAAGAGAGTGAAGAAGAGACCTTAACTTGAAAGAGGTTTATTATCCGGCGACTGACACTTCGTTATGTTAAAGCTCTTTCTTCTCCTCCACTACCTATCAAATTTGTAGCTGTTTTTTTCTCAAGTTAAAGGCTCTTTATCTTGTGGAAATGACAAAAAAGCTCTTGCATCCTTTTGTCCTAAACTACCTACATATAATTAGTTTGTTTTCCTCCAATGGCTTTACATTTGCCATATGACTGTTTCTTGGTTACACAAAGAAAATGGGAACTTATTGGAAATTAGGAGAGTCGAGAAAGATGTACTGCTCACACTCAAATTTGCTGAGGTTTTACCAAAACGGTCATCTCAGACCGCATGAAGCTGTGTTTGAGAATGAGGTAAAACTCAGAAGACTTTGCGAACTGCTTTCTGCTGAATTCAAACAGCTTCAACAAAAACTAACCTGGATCTTAAGTTGCCGCATTGACACAGATGAGGAATTAAGGACTTGTAACCTTTTTAATTTTATTCTTTGATGTGCTATCATTTGTACTTCATGTGAGTATGCACTTTATTTAGGCTGTCTTTCTTTTCCTTTTTTTTTTTTTTTTTTTTTTGCATTTGGGTTTGCCCAGGATTGAAAGATATGCACTTTTCCTCAAACATTCAACGAAAAATGTAAATGCATTGGTTAGGATTTTATAAAATTTGAATTGTTTAGATCAGCATGTTCATGACTTAAAACAGTCTAGCAAAGTCAGACATAAATTATTTTGAGAGCTGTGACTTAAAAATAGATGATTATATTGTAAAGCCATGTTTTCTTTACAGTTGGTGTGTTTAAGTATTACATAAAATCCCGGTAAAATATTTTGAGCTTTGTGACTGTACTGTGGTAATATAGAGAGAATTTGAAGCAGTTTGAAACTTAACTAAGATCCTTGTTTCAGATTCAATAACACGTGAAAGTACCTGACCTCAAATAATAAAAAAATTAGAGAATGTGAGCAGTTCTACTCTCGAATTGCATGCAATGTTCTTCTCTTGAGATGTTTGTTGCAGGCTGAACTGGGATGATTTGCTCCCTCAAAATGTATAATGAACGATGAGAAATATCGCTTTTTTCCCCCCGTGAAACAGGAATGTTTTGAGAAGAGTTCTCAGAAAAACGTTTTTAGCGATTTTGCTTCCTATAAAATGTGGTTTGCATGGCTCCTATTGTTAGAACTCACAAATGAATCCACAAGCTTCGGAAATGTATAAGTTTGAATATTCTGACTGAATCATACCCAATTAAAATCTCAAAAATAGAATCGCCTTAAACGGCATAAACACGATAGTAATTAAAAAGTGTTCAAAAAAAAAAAAACTTGCAGAAATAATGTTTTGAAGGTGGATCACTGTGCTACAGATGTAATTGGAAAATATTGATGACTGACGAGTAAAATTCCAGGAGAGTTGCCTTTCATGGAGCAGCAGGCAGCAGGGCTCTGCCGCCCTCACTGCACTGTTCAATTAGAGCATATGATTAGTGTAGACTGTCTCAAGTGAAATTGAATCTATCAGCCTGGTTCAGATTACCACAGGTCCTTGCAATTCAGCTATCACTTTGTCTCTGTCGCACTAATATAATACTGACTGAATGAATGATTTCTGCTTAAGGCGACGCTTGATTGAAGCTGATTGCATTTTGCAGAGGTTTATTATGTTTCCATAATTTATCATCATGACTCTGAAGTTTGTGTTTGCGAGGCTGCATGCAGGTGGTTGTGAAAGAAGGGAGGAAAAAGCAGCTGGAGTTCTGCAACCAAAGTCATGTTTATCCATTGTTTTATTTTTTCCTGCTTGCAGGGTGCCGGAGCCGAGAGCGAACCTATGGACCCACGGGACCTTGAAGACAATGATTCTGGACCGTCCATGGACCACGCCCCGTGATGTGAGCGGACCAGACTCCTCGTGCGTCTACCTGTCCTTGATGATTTGCCTCAGCCTGCCATCAGCCCAGTTGAGCCGTCAGCCCGGCCCTTTCTCTGTCAGTCATTTTCACCCACCGCTCCCGCCTCCTCTCCCTTCCCTGGCAGTGACCTTGAGAGGAGGCTGCAGTGACAAATATGGATGGCAACAGCTATTCCACACTCAAACTTTTTTCCTGATTTCTCACTTGCTACAAACTTTCTTTAATTGAAGCACTGAAGTTATGTGCAATCAATTACCATCAGGCTCAATTTTCACAGCCAAACAGATCTATGACTCACTGATGAGCCTGGCTAATTCAGAGAGGAGTTTGGGCAGGCAGGCAGCTGTAAAAAGCAGCTGTTAAGCTCAACAGCTGTTAGAAAAACAAAAGTATGTGATGCAATGAGTAACACTCCTCATTTATTTGGAATATAATTATGGTTCTGCCGTTCAGCCTTACATCTTCAAGAGATTTTATTACATCTAGTGCTGCACTGAGCGGGCTTAGGCCAACACCAATTTACAGTTTACTTTAAGGTCTGGCCTTCTGGTTCCAATTTTGACCATTGCTGATTTTATTTCCTTTTCAGAACTATATACCATATGAAAGAGAACAGAATTAAAAATGGACTGCTCTTTCCGAATTTAAGGAATTCCATGATACATGTTAATGGGGAGATCTATTTTCATTCACGGTTTAAAAACTACATTTTCCTTTTTTAACAGTGATTAACAAAATTATTTGTATTTGCTAAATAACAAGCGAGATAATTTCTTAGAGATTTTTATTGCTATTTAAAAACAAATCGTTTTAAAATTTGGTAGAAATATTCATGACTTGGGTCAAATGTGTTGGGTGTTCTCTCCTTCAGTAATTGGCTGGCCCTTTCTTCCGGATAACTGGTGAACAGTCAGATTTGAAGGCCTTTTGGACACAGCGTATCTGTCACAATTTTTAATGATATGGAGATCAGCACTTTGTAGTGACCACTTCCAGAACACTTTGTCCTTAGTCCAGTTTGTAACTAACTTGCCAGTATGATTAGGGTTTTTGTCCATTTGAAAGACCCATTGAGCCCAAGCTTTAGCTTCTTGGTGATGGAGATGTTGATTTAGTATTTCCATCTCATGGTCTGTGAAATGTACCAATCCCCTCTGCAGTTCTCACTCAAAAGCAACTAGAAGATATATTTCTCAGAGTATAATATCATACAACAAAGCTGCACATTTGAGATGTTGCCTTAAAATACATCCACGTTTGCCTCTGTGTAATTCAGATATTGTGAATTATCCGGAAGCTTACAAAGCCTTTTATCATCATCTGGTGTTTCCTAAGTGCTTGAAAGGCCTTTATACATTTGTGTATGTAAACTACAGAACTTGAAGAGATTAACAAAAAAGAAAAAGCAAGTCTTTAGATATTCTGGGATTTTAAAAACTTGGATGTTTTATAAGGTGTATGTAAATATTTTTTTTCAGCTGTAACCATCAAAGTATGTGCTCTTTAGAGACATGGGCTGGTTTCCATTTTCAAATTATACCAAGGTTATAAAAAGTTGTGGCTTCAAACTGCTGACATTTTCCAGCACATCCAAACTGTTTCAAGTCTTTTTGTTTAGATGCAAGACAAAGTACAACTGGAAGTGGAGTACTGCCCCTACCTGCTGCTGTTCAGCTGGCTGAAAAGAGGCTCTGTCTCCATTTCTTTTGTTAATAAAAACAGATGAATTTGGTTGTTTGGAAACATATCCAATCAAACTCTGGGAAGCTAAATGAGCACCAACAACCCGTGTTATTAAGCTAAGCGCAGTTCAGAGTTGGAACGATTCTCACTGACTTATAGTTAATGAACGGAATTATTCTGTGAGAATTTAGATGATAAAAAGATGATTTGTTAAAAATGTTTTGTGAATACATTAAAGCCATGATGTTTGTGTTCAAGTTTATCGTAACATGAGTATTTTAGAGCAGCCCATGTCCAACTCTTAACTTTCATTTGATTTTTAAGTGAAACACAAAAGTAATCCATGTTCATGCTGTTTGTTGATGCATCTGTAGTTCACCATGGTGAAAGTTCTTAGTTGTTATTCGTTTAATTAACTGGCACAAAAGAGTTTTGATCTCTGACCAGTTTTACGTATATCCGTCTACAAGGGTGGTATTTTGATTGAAAAAGGGGAAAACAAAGCAAAAAATAAAAAATAAAAAAAAAAATGCTGTTTTGTTCTGCGCCATATTGTGGCCTTCACTTCTACATTTGCTGTTTAGAAAAGTTTTTAGATGTGTTCACACTTACTCTTGTTTTTCTTGGACGACTTATTAAAATCAAGGTGTATTCTGACACCTATTGATTTGTAAATGTTGCTGAATCTTAATAGAGACTTGTATTTAGCTGTGCAAAAACAGCCTTTCTGCATTTACCAGCTCCATGTGTACTATAATGTAAAGGCTCATTACTCCCGACCCGTCAGCAGTGTATGACGGATTGCAGTCCAAAGATGCGAATGCACTTTTTTCCTTGACCTGCTGAGTCGCAGCTGTCACTCATGACACATTGCCACAGTTTTATGTTCATATCAGCAATTTGGGGTTTTTGTTTAGTTTTTATTGTGATTTATTGTGTTGCCTTAAAATCTGAACTGAAATACTGTCATTAATGATATTTGGGATGGGTTTCAAAATAGTTTTTTCACTACAGTAGTGCTGCTCAGAAATGTACTGAAGTTGCATACCTACTCAAGGGATTTGTTAATGTGTCAACAGCAGATTGTAAACAAAAACAACAAGATCGTATTCTGTATTCTTATTGTGACAACAGACAGGAGTCTGACTGTTCTTCTGTTTTGTCTGTTTTGGTTTTAAATCTATAAATAAACAGTCTGCTTCTTAAGGCTGGAGGTAGATGGCATTTATGTTTCAGTTTAAGAAATTTTGTTGTATTATTTGACTCTTGCAAAACTCGGGGAAACCGTTGAAAAGCATCTGTCAACCAGTCAACCGAGTCTGTGGTATCAGCAAAAAAACCCTTGCACCATGTAAGGTTTTTCTATGATTGATGGAGACAGGAAGAGTGATGAAGTGGCTTAAAGAAGAATTCAGGATGGGGAGAATTTCAAGTTCTTCTTCATTAAAATTCAAAGCAGCAACACATCCAGTTAGGACTGGGAATAGGAGGTTTAGGAGCAGGGGAAGGCAGTGCCTGAGCGATCTTTGGGGTTTCTCCTCCTCTCTCTGCCCAGAAAGACTATGTTTAACCAATCCTTCCTCCAAACAAGCCCAAAAAAATGCCGGTCAACTCCTGAACTCAATCTGAAACCATTTGCGTCTTTGCTGTTTATTTTTCTCATCTCATCTCTTGACAGACGCACCATCTGGTACGCATTAGTGCCACCTGCTCTCTACCTGAGCCGTTTCATCCTCTCTGCCTATAATTGAAAAACTGGCTCTAACACATCGATTCACAGATACTTGTTTAGCCACCACTGCTTGCTACCCTGTTGGAAATAGACAATTTTACATTTTCTTATGAGCTTAACTCTTGATCTTAGGTGCTCATAGCTGATGACTCTGTCCTGGTGCATTTAAATTCACCTTGTGTCTGTGGCCATAGCCAGATACAGCTATGTGCAAAAGTACTTCCCTCCTCTAAAGATTTCTTCTTGTCACTTTAATGTTTCAGATCTTCAAATATCTTTCATAGACAAAGATAACTTGAATAAACAGATTTTAGATGACTATTTCTTTCCCACTATTCATTTTGCAGTCTTGTCACAGAGGCTAAATGGCAGTTGTTGCTCCTAAAAGTGGCATGCCCTGTAATTAGATTTAGGAGGCAATTTCCTCATCAGTCCTGGTGGGTTTACTTCACTGAATCCATATGAAAAAATGCATATTTAGTATTTCCCAACGTCCTAGTTTTCTGAATTTCTAATAACATTTTATTTGACAATATAAATGTTTGCGATGTTTCAACAAAGCGGCATCTGTAAGGGGAGGAATACTTTGTCGCAGTATGCTCCGAGCCCACAGGCACCTTCAAAAAGAGAATAATGATCCACTCTTTATATCCATTTCATATGATCAAAGCAATAATAAGTAACCTGAAAGGCGGACAATGTGCATCTTGTCAGTGGAGGAAATGGAAAGAAGATTGTCTGATCTCATTTAGGCAGTGAGACCACAGGCTTGCTCTCCCCAGCCCCTACTCCACACCCAATTACACCTGCTCTTCCAGGTCCACATCACAGAGCTTGTTTCACACAGAGACACAAGGATGTGCAAATAAACAAAAGCACCGCCTTAAGACCCTCGCTCTCCTGATGGGGGCCAAAAAGGACTATTTGTGTATTTGTATTGACATAAATTAATTGCTTCATGGCTTGTGAGATTGAATTAGCTACGTGACATGCGTGCTAGTGGTGATGCAGCTTGATTACTGCCTCTAATGGAGCCTGTTTCTCTGGCATCCCTTAAGAAGCCAGTCAGGTCTGCGGCTTCAAGGTAGTGAAGCAGATTAACAAAAAACCTGTTATGACACACCTTAATGATTCTGTTTATTGGAATGGAAGAGATGGTAAAAATTCTGATTTCTTTACCCCAAAAACACAGTTTCAGACCAATGTGTGTGCATCGCATGTTCTGCATGTGCATAAAAATATGTATTCAGGTGCAAGAAAACAGCTATTATACAGTGAGCCACATCATTTTCTCCACGTTCTTGTATAACTGAAGAAAATGTATTGCTTGGTTTACAGTTGATGTGCTGTCTTATTTTATTTTCCCCTTCCTCTCCCCACATTCACACAAACATGCACAAAATCAATAAAACAGTCATTAGTGTTGGAATTTAAGCTTAGATTTTGAAGTCATTCACTGTGGAGCTGTAGTAAAAGCAACAGTCACGCTGACGGTCACACTGAAATACCTGACTTAATCTATTGTGACCGATAAAAAATTGTGTTTTTAAGTGTATGTTTTTCTCCCTGTTGTATCATGTAGGGGTTTTAAATCTATACTCTGCATTTTAGCTCCATAAAAAAAAGTAAAAATAAAACTCAAGATATCAGCAACAAATCTGCAATCAAT